TGAATTCCGCATTAACGAAAAGAAAGAGCGGGCTAAAATTCCAGAAGAAAAAAACTTCATAAATAGTGCCAAACAAAAATAACGCGATTCTGTAAAATATCTGACATGGTCAGCTGTTTGCTAGGTTTGACATAACACACCGAATAATAATGCAGTAGAAATTTTCATGGCGAAAAAACCTACTCTGGCAAGTTTTCTCTTTACTAATCAATATCTGATTATGGTAGTCATATTTGATGTAATAAATTTACTAGCACATATATCAAGGTGCATGGATCACTGGAACAGCTGGACAGTCTGGTTTTCTGTTTATGCAGCTGCCAAGTTTTTCAGTTATTTTATGTCATCATAAAACAACGTTGTTTAAATTTTGCTCTTGGAGAAGAGGTGGAAGCTATTCCTTCTTTCCTTCCAAATTTACTGCCACACTAGCTAATGTGGTAACTAAATTTTAAGCTTAAAAGGAAACGATAAAAGTTTTGTAAAAATGGCCAGTTAAGGCTGAGTTCTTCACACTGAAAATCCTTTAAATTGCTCAGCGTCACAGAGCTAGAACATATAGCGAATTAGTGCTTTATAATATTATGTTGTTTAGTAATTGATTAATCAATAATTTATTTTGCTTATGACTACTTTTAATCCTCGCTGTGTTCGTATGGAATACCTGCCTAATGACTGGTGGCGCCGAATCTCTGTTGTGACAAAGGTGAATTTGGATAAACATAGGATGTTTTTCGCTTTACGGTAATCGCCAAATGCCAACAAATGGCACTCATAAAAAAGAAAATAACTCCTTGAACGGTCACAATAAACGTGCGATACGTGTACATGAAAAAACGACGAGTGCTAACTGAAGACTTGTAGATTAGCTTCGGAAAATTTAGTGCAGCTAAACCGTGTGTGGGTACCCTTGTACAGCGTCGTAAGTTCACATCGGCTGCACGTAATCGTGGTAATCTTAGTAAAATTTATTTTTGCTTGTATGGCACAACTGCATCGGGGGTGTGGAAGCGTCACAGAAACATCACTGCAGTGACTGCGCTGGCGATCATAGTATTCTTTGTATGCTTTTCGTTTTTATTACTTGCCCATTTAATTTATTTTTGCTTCCTGTATAAAAAAATCTTCTGACGGCACTACGATCATAGTTTTAATTTATTCACTTGTTTTTTTACTTTTTTTTTGCATTTTATCTAAACATGTAGTTATTGCATGATCTGTTTGTTGGCAAACAAACAATCACGATCACAACAGAAATTCTTGTTTGTCATTTTGTTTAATTTTTAAAATTATGAAAAATCCACTTAAGGCACTGACCAGCACAACGTTCAACCGGAATGCCCAATGGTTGAAATCCCTCAGTGCAGTTACAGAAATATGTCCCCGGTAGATTGACGCATGTAGAATGTTTCGGACATTGTGCGACACCCGTCTCACATTCATCGATATCTGAAAGTGGATACTTAATCTCGTGAACTGAATGATTCTCAAAAAACGCTGATTTTTATCTGGTCAAAAATGTTCGCCTGAATTGTCAGGTTACTTAGTTGTGAAGCCTTTCTGTTAATTAGTGCACGAATCTGAGTATCCTTTTATGAAGATTGATTGATATGATCCTGAATACTTTCACTTGATTAGAAGACTACTTAATGAGCAGCTTTCGCTGAATTGGAAAATGATTCTCATGGTTTGTCACAAACACTATAATCCAAATTCATTCAAATTCACATAGGTCTGTTCGCTCGCTCTCACATACGATTTGTTATTGTCTGATAGTGATATTTTGCTTCCGCAACCATTTTGCGCCCATAATAACTAATCACAAAAGCGATAATTTTACCAGAGCTCCTGTTGCTGGGTACTTCTTTTCATATTTGTCTGTCATTTTTTACAGCTTGCCTTGCTCGGCCTGCATCTCGAAGACTGCCCGATTTGTGTTCTCAGATTTACCAGGACTTGGTAACGCTCGAATAACTTCTTCCAGGCTTCCACCCATCGCTCCCGGTACATTCAGCATTATTTTTAGTGTTTTTTCTCTTAAGTGGTATTTTTCTCAGGAAATGTCATTTTACTGTTAAAATTAATAGCCTCATAACTGCGATTATTTTATGACTTTGCTCAATATTTATTATCCCATTGTCCTCAATTTTGTTTAAAAAAAATTTATTCCAGTTTTACTGCCCGGAGTCGGATGAGAGGGTTGAGGGAAAGAGAGTGGGGAGAGAGGTGTGCATTTGCTTGTTGTCACATTGAATAATAATCATTTTCTTAAGATAGTATAAGTGCTTCTGCGTTCACTGCAGTAACGAACAGATTCTACACAACTTCCTACCAAAGTTCAACAGTCCAAATTAAAAACCGATTATCCGGGTTAAAACGAATCAGGCTTAATAGGATTTCAGCAATTTGAAAAAAAATTTCAGGATTAAAATGGACGAATTATGTTATCAGTGTTTCGATGAGCTATGAATGAGTAAGTGGACTGCTACTTGAACAGTTGTTGTGCGCTGCAGTGACAAATTGGCTTGATCGTATTTAACAAGATTCTTTTTTTACGATCGCATTGCGAATGCCGAAAAACGGGGAACAAATGAATTGAGTCACAAAAAAGTGATTTCCATTTTAAATTTGAGGGACTGCAAGGGTTGGCTGAGAGACTCTGCGACGCAACAAAACGGCAGGTAACGACTTTTACGACCTTGTCCTACTAAGAAATTTGAGTCACCACTCTGCAACATACACAAAATTACGTAGACCATATGTGTTCACGTACAAATAAAGCACCCAAATACACCCACACACGCACACACACACACACACCCAGACACACTCACACATTCATGTGATGTACAGGTACGTTTACTAGTTAGAGGGTGTTAATCTGCAAGGAAATTCACACGTTTGCGTGCGTGTGTCTCAAAGATTGCTCAGTGTTGGTGGCGTGGAGTTCTCAATATTATTAAAAATTACTCCATGATAAGTATATTTGCGACAGACATCTACTTAGTTTTTGTGATTAAATTTAGCTGTTCCCCTTAGATTTGAATCTATGACAGCAAAATTAAACTCCCTCTATAATTTGCTCTTTTCGTGAGATGAAAGTGAGTGGGAAATAGCACAAGTACGTAAAGTTAATT